TCCGTACGCCAGATTTGGCCATGTGACGCCCCTCCTGACACGGTCCTTTAGGCTTGGTACGCCCCGCTGGCGCGGTCTCGCGGAAACCCCTCGGGTGCGGGCCTGCAGAGCCGCGGCAGATACCGTGATAGCTCGCAGATCTGGGCCGCGTGCAGCTCCATTTGCGTCACTGTCTATCCAGCGGCGATCGGCGCCAGAGAACGGACCGGTCACCGGCCGGCACGGCTTCATCACAGCGCGCGACGGGGACGGCGGGACAGCCGGCTGCACGGCCTCATTAGACACCCGCCGCGCCACGCCGCACAAAGAGGTGCGCGCGCCAGTACATACATCTGTGTTTGATCTGACCGATGTAGCCTGCCTTGTCTGCAGTCTGCTGGGTCAAGTTTGGGTGGCGCTCGCCCGCCCGTGACCGCCCGCGACTTTGTGTGGGTCGCCGCCCCTCAGAATCGCCGCCGTCCCCGTGTCACTGGACGAGACACCGCACTGGACGGCACGTCCGATCTCCGACAGCGTCACTGGCAAAGGAGGCCCGCTGTCAACAGCACACGTGACATCAGCCAGTTTTCCCGCACGCCTACGCTCCCCAGCTATGCTTAACCTTAGTGTCATGTCCAAGTCATGTCTCTGTGTACGGCCTTGGTCAGTGGTCATGATTGTTGGAACGGTTTGCCGGATGTGCCAAGATTCGAGGAAAGTTAATTACTTGATTTGTTTTGGTTACATTCAGCCTAATTAATGAAATGAAATTTAATTACGCTGTGTCTATGCATGACGTCTTGACAGTGTATGTCGAAAAAAATGTGTTTTCGTCAGAAAGTGGGCAAAAAAGAAAAAATGTGAGAGCGTATAAGGAGTTTCATATCAAAGTCAGGCCGTGACCAATGCATTGGCAGCCTTAATTCTGTGAAGACTGAGTCGTGCAGTGTATGGAAACTCCAGAGGGCTATAATTATTCCACCGAGAGGGCACGGTCTGGCTGGTCGGCTACCGCCGCCTCCCGGCTGACCCCGTTTACCGGCCACTGACCCCGGCACGAGGACATCGAGCGGACCCGATCCCTCGGCTGACCGGTGACACGCCACCGACACCGACTGATCAGGGGTCCGTCTGCAGAGGTCATTGGCAGTCTGGCAAACACTGTTCAGCAGTCTGACCCAGTAGATCGTCTCATTCTGATCAGCTCCTATCCGAGCCGACAAACTGTTTAGGCCCGCGCAACGCTTGTAGCAATATACCTGACCGCATGGGCACTTCGCACCATCACGTGTGTAATCAGACGACACGACGTCACGACACACCACGTCACACCGCGTCAGTTGGCGACACGGAAACATCCCATCACATGTGTCATCGCGCGGCGTATGTCCGTTCGTCCCGTTGCGTCACAAACGTCCGCACGCCGGCTGGCGCGGACACGGCGCTGACATTGGCCACCTCCCTCTTCCCTGTCTGATGCCTCCCACTTTCCTTTCCTTTGCTAGTCTCTTCTTTCCTCGCGTGCAGGTCTGATGACGCTCAGTGAGTTGGTACGTAATGGCGTCATAAGTGAGGCCTCGCGAACGACAATTGTCCTGCAGTGGTGTGTCATTTGATGGCTTCATTTTTGTATGTGATACGATAGACTGTGCTACACGAACCCCATGAATGGCACAGCATGCAGATAGCGCCATCAAGAAGGACTGGCATAATGCTATTATTATTCGTCACACTCACAGTTAGCACGGTCCGTTGTAACCTATTTCAACATCCGTATGCTTTCCGTCTCGATTTCACAAAGCCACCGGCACATAAAGTTAATGTTATCGCTATCAGTTTCGCCTGTGATGACATCTCATCACCAACAATAAGTTATCAATCTCACAACTTTTAGTTTGTGCTAATAAGGTCGCGCTGTTACATTTGTGTTCGAGATTGCATGCCTCAACCATCAGTGCCTCTTTAGATGACACCACGACGGATTTAAATACCACAAATTAGCACCACCGGACCACTACAACGGCTATCACAGCCACACCTCGCTGCAAAACATCAGACACGCGGTGCTTCCCAAAATATACTACCCAGTACCCACGGCAATAGAACAGACGCCGAGCGGAGCAACTGAGACCAGCAGAGCGAGGAAACCGGACCACGACTTTTCACGGCAGGCGGTGACCCCGCCGCGCGTGCAGGGCAGACTGGGGGAGGTGTGAACACGACTGGGCCCTGTCCGCGCAATGGGCCAATTAAGCCGCGCTGCACGTCAGTGTTCCGCCTGTGATCGCAATCCCGGGGTAAATTTAAAACGTCAGCCCGAATGATCTTCACGGATATACTGTATCAGATTATGTTTGGGCTGACGTGAAGTGATAGTGGTAATTTATTGTAATTCACCGGTAGTTAGTAATGTCAAAAAGATCATTTCCGTGTTGGATCATTTCCGACTCGCCGGTATCAGATCACGCTATCATAACTGTTATTTATGCTCTGTTCCCTCTACGGTTGAAAATGCCAGCAAATGTCACAGGCCGGCAGGTGCATGCATGTCTGCTATCTATATGGGAATGTCACCATCATGCAAAACTTAGCAACAGACACATTTTTAACGACGCTGCATGATTGCCTGGAAACATTTGTTTAAAAAGAGACACTGATTTTCTCCCTGACACAGTTGCCTACCAGTGCGTGTAAATAACCATTGAACTTTCAGCTCAGCTGCTTTGATCGTCAGGGTGGGTGCGGGTGGGGGTGCAAACACGGTCCTGGACTTGAAACCATTATTCCAGGCATAAATTTCAACAATGCGCCTATGACAGGGAATGTAAAAAATGAACAGCTATGACTTATGCTCCGCTCTTCGATCGTCGGTTGTGTCCACCATTTGCATTGGTAGCAAATCTCTATCAACCTGCATTGTGAGAAAGTGATGTTCATTCGAGCACAGTTTGATACGAGTGAAACACTGTTTCAATCATTTCCCACTTTGGGTTTCACTGATGACAATCATTTAGCGATTTAGACATTATCTATCTCATGGAGTTTCAAACCGCTAATCAACATTAGGCATCGTTGAAAACGAGCTGATAAAACCTGTGTTAGATAGTTCGCCAGCGGCACACGGTTCGGTAACTGTTACCGAAATAGCCCGCGACCTGGGAAAATGGTAGCGTCACACTCACACCACCCCACTCCATGATTATTGTCATCGGTGATAAATTGTCGCGGTGTAAACACGGCTTCAAGGCCAAGGACGAATGTCTGTGAACTTGTCGTTCACAGAATGGTGTTTTAATGATATAGAACATGGCCAGTAGGTATTGCCGGAAATCGAACATCATAGTTTGTAGATGTTAAATGATAGCTGAATGATTGTAACGTTATATTTAAATGCTGTATTCTGACCCGATGATATGTTCTGCTGTTTTTTACGGAAGACGGCTCAAGATGGATACTGAGACGAGACGAATACACAGAGACGGACTGACAGCAACAGTCTCGAGACATGAGCAGTCCCGTCCGTTGCCAAAGCCTTGTCCCGCACCACCGCGATCCTGCGCGTGGGTCACACCGCTAACCCTGCCCAGCCGGCGGCAGCGTGCCGTTTAGATGAAAGCCCGGCGATAGATGCGCTCGGCCGCGCCGCAACGGCCCGTGCGCCGCCAGCGCCGCATCAGATTAGACGGTGGCGCGGCCGTTTAGATCGGTTTTGCGCCGCGGACGATGTATGAGCGCCGGTCACAGTGCGTGGTTTTTCTGTCGGCCGCCGGTGACTGGGTGTCGTGATCTGTGCGCGCGCCGGGCCGGGCGTGGGGGTGGCAGCGGGGGTCGGACAGCCGGGACAGGGTGACACGGCCGACACGGACAGGAAGACATCGGTCACCGGTCACCGGTCAGCGGTCAGCGACGGTCACCGGTCACCGGTCAGCGACGGTTAGCGGCGGCCGGAGCAGAGGCGAGCGGAGGCACAGCACCGAGACGGTGTGCTTATATATGATATCGAGTACATAAAACGATGGTGATCGGAATGAGGAATCGGGCATATGCTGAATGAGAAGGAAGCATTACGTCAAAAGTTCGCTGACTGTTGTTGAAAAGCAGCAGTTCAGCATATAAAAATGCTTGCTGCTAAGGGTTAACTATACGAAAATTATTCAAAAGAAACACTTGTAAGATACGACCTCCTACCCCGTACCGTCTGCCCTGTAGGCGTGACAGATTGAACCCAATACACGGCGTGGCGGACAAACAAACAAACAGTCGGATCCTGTTCAAATAGTAATTACGTACGCAATTAAGTCTCTAAAAAGTATGAATGGGTTTCATCTTGCCTGTCTTTGTTCAAATTTTTAAAGCAATAAATTACACATCACGCAGTTTTCTCTTCCATCGTTAGCGCTTGTCGACGAGAAAACTGCGACAGAGTTACAGGCCCTCCCCTTCCCCTTGACATCGAACAAGCTCGCACTGATAGCCGGGCATGTTCGATCCAACTTTCTCGCCGGCAAAAAAAAAACACTACCTCTAAAGAACTAGCGGCAAAGAAACGGTGATGCATGCCTACTCCATGCAAGCTCTTGTACATCATTAAACGTCATTTGTCGGTGTAGCTTTTGAAGTTGGCCTTATACAACGGTTTTTGCTCTATACCATCATGCCGCATTCGCATCGCATCCAAGTAAGAGATGTCAATTTAATGAAAAAAAAATCGGGTGACATTATATTGCAAAAGTACACAAATAAAAATAGCAAACTTAGGCAAACATGAAGTCCATACATATGTAAGAAATGTTGGAAGAGCGAGCAATTCAAAATGCAGCATTCATCAATCACGGCATATTTAGAGCAACAGCTTATAAAAAGATTCGATAAAAGCATGTGATTACAATTTACCTAAAACAACAGTCGGTAGCTTTGCAAAGCGAAAAGTTTTGTAAAGATACAATGCAGGCACCTATGTTATGTTTGCGCGTGTTACATCTTCACGAACTGTTAAGTTAGACCCTCAAAAGTTAATCTTTATTTACATTTTGGCATGCGCACGCACAATAGTTTTACAGCCCCGGCTCCAGACTGGCTTTGGGCTGGCGGAGCAAAAAAAAAAAAGAAAAGAAAAAGAAAGCTTGGAACTGAGAGTACCCACCCAAATAATATTGTACTTTGTTCTTCAACACGGAAGTAGTTGTATATTTCAGCCCGAGTTGAAGCTAAATATCTCAATATGATTTGCTTTCACGAAATCATCTGGAGCATTCATGTTTGTGAAAAAATGAATACTTAGGTATGTGTAACAATGCTTGTCTGCGAGAATTTGTTTAAAACTTAAAATTTAAACAAAGTTAAAATCACTTTCGATTTGCTATCCAGCTACCTACACAAAACAAATCAAGAAGTACCGGTCGGTATCTACAAAAAACAGGTATGTGATTTTTTCTAGGGATGTTCCATATAGACACTGCAGGTTCCTGGTTGGGTTAGGGCACCTACACAAACAGAAACACCAATGCTTCCTTTCAAAATCTAGTCTGCAAGTTGTACCTTGCTTACGGTGTCTTATTTTTGTGCGCCTGTGTCGAAATCCCGATCAATACATAGGTATTTGACAAAGCCCAGTCGTCTGCGCAGTGCGCAAGATATATCAGTGTAAAATCGCCAATCGCCAAGCCTCCACGCTTGATTGTCAGGTGAAACTGCAGTGCTTTCCGCCCACCATACAGAAGCGACTTTCCCGTCACTAATTAAGCTTACCTCCGGTGCCGGCTGCAGGCGTGTGAAGTCCCGCAAGGTTCACTGGTGAAATAGGTCACAAACAAGATATTGATACGCATGGTACCATACCCGCTGGGATATTATGTTGTTGTTCTCCAGTCTGGCAAGTCAACAGTGTGTAATTACTAACTTCTCCGGAAGCCATCGCGCCATTGTCGCATAGACAACTGTTCCCAGGAAGCGTTTCACGGATGAATTCTCTACTATTCTGTCATACTCTCCGCGTGATTCATTAATTTTTCCTTCGATCTTTGTGAATCATTCGCCTTTTCGCATCCGTTTTAGTCGTGTTACCACACAAAAATACCGTTCGTGCGAAACGTTAATGGAATTAGTTTCGCTGATCTAAAAGACAGGTCGCAAATCGATTCCTCCGCGGCTTAGGCCAGTCGGGACCGGTCCCCGACAAGTCGCTCCGCGGTTGGACAAAGACGTCTCACTTGCGCCGAAGCAGGTCAGGCGAGAGAGGTGGCGCTGCGACACGCGCCGGTCGGCGGTCTGTCGATTTTTAGGGCTCTCAGCGGCGCGCCTGTGCGAGGCGAGTCGAGGCGAGTCCTCGGCCGGCTGCGCGGATCGGCGCCGCTCCAGCGCCGGTCGGCGAGAAGAGGCCATTCGCCCCGTGTCGGCAGCCAACCTCGGCGACACTGTTTGGTCGGGTCATCGTTCCAGGAGAGAGGGTCGAGAGGGAGAGAGCTGGGTTGGATGGTGTAGTGGATACTGGATAGAGCTCGGCCCTCCATCCGCAACTGAACTGTGCTGCGGGATGAATCGGTAGTACGACCTGACGGGTCAGCGGTTTTATGGGACCGCCAGAGAAAGGTTCGTAGACGTTTACTTTTAACGAGGTGATTTCAGTCACATTAACGGACACAGCTCAGCGGCCGCAACAGAAATAAGTCGGTCTGTTTTAGCTCTTGTGCTCGTTGTTTAGGCAGCAGTTGTTTCTGCCTTTCGCCGATTTCTCTGTTATTTCCAGACTTCTGCATGCTAGTATGATTATGCCAAGATTTCATCAGACTGAAAGCGAAACGGGGACCAGTTTTGCCTTAAAGGTAGTGTGCCAGCTTTCCTGGACCGTATGGAGTTAATGGCCCAGATAAGGAGAACCGGATTTTTAGAACTTATCCATACCTTCAAAACTCATGGAAACGTCTTAAATTCTTCAAATTTTGAGTACCCCAGTGCGAAATTCGCCCCGACGGGTTGTCGGTCGTACCCCAACCACATTTCACACCACTATGAACAATAAATGCACACACTGAAATCGCTATTACCGATATGCTCATCCAATCAAGTTTCGATAAACCCGTTCATCATCATCTCCTGCGGTTTCGAACACGCCTGTTAGGTGGTGCGGTAGACCGCGCCCAAAGCCAGGGCCCCGGTAACGTGAGGTAGCCGAGTCGGGGCAGCGTGCGCTGACCCAAGCCGGGGCCGCGCGTCCTCCCGGTGTCATGTGATAGCCCGGGGGGATGCGGTAGACCGCGCCCAAAGCTGCGGCCCCGGCTTGGGTCAGCGCACGCTGCACCGACTCGGCTACCTCACGTTACCGGGGCCCTGGCTTTGGGCGCGGCTTCTGCTCATACTTTGTGGTGCGGTGGTGGTGCGTCGGGCCGCGCGCTCTGACTTCGGCCAAGAAAAATGCGTCAGCTGATCATTGTCATTTCTGCCACTTGCGTGTGGTGAAATGGGGTCATAACTTAAGAGACGGCTTTTTCATATCAATTATTTTACATAAAATCATATTTCAAACCATAAATAATGTTCGACAGCCAAATAAAAGAAACAATACCAATACAGGCTTACAGTTTAAGGCTCGACATTGTGTTGTCTACGATTAGACAGCTGATAACTCATTCCCGTACGTCGTAACTCTATAATGACCTTTGCTTATTGTCACATGTGCGCCGCATTCGCGATTGTTGCCGACGCCTGTTTGCAGCTCAGCCCACTACAGTTGTTATACATATCGAAAAACCGATAAACTTTTAGGCGAAAAAGGCACTATTCCAGGCCCATTTTTGATTTTTGTTGCGATATTAGGTAAAAACAGAAGCTTCTTTTCCTAGGAAAAATAAAATGGGAAATCTTTCAAAGGTGGCACACTACCTTTAATAATCCCGACTTAGACGAAGTATTTGACCTTGCTTGAGACAGCAAATGCACGTTATCTTGTCAGCGTTCGAGCATGGCACGTTAGAAACTGGGCCAGGACTTATCAACTGTAGGTATATGCAGCAGTTATTCCAGCTTACTTTATAGTGCTCGTCGAGGCCAAGCTCAATGTTTGACCAAACCTGAATGACATGTTTGCTTGGTTTACTTATCAGCATCTTGATTAGCAACTGAAATCAGACACATCTGCTTCAACCGGACGACTTTCTGCACTGGCCTCTAATCTTTGCGAGCTGCGCTATTTCCGTCAGGTAATGACGGCCCCGTCACGGCTCATGGTGAGGCTGTGACGGTGGTCGGTCGGCCGGTGCCCCCAGTCCGTCTGTTCGTCAGAGACATTCATCAGACCCCGACGGCGCGGCGGTAGGCCCGGTCGCTACTCTTTGTCACCGTCCTCTGGGCACCGGACGTTTTTTGCTCGGGCTCGCCGTGACGAGGCGAACGCTATCAATGCGCAGGAACCCGACACGGGTTTGTTGGACCACTCATCTGCCCCTGATGGCAGGGCGACCGGCGACAGAACTATCTCGAATGACCCCATCAGTTCCCCAGTCGGCGACGACCAGAAGACAATGAACCGCCACCTGGCGTCGGTCGTGAATCACGCAGCAGGCCTCACAGACCATGCATCACGCCCCACGGCTCATGAGTCGCGGCTCACGCTCGGTGAGTTGCGGCCCCTGCAGGTCCCGCCTATTTCCCTAGACTGTCGTCCGTCCCCTGCTCGGCCCCTTCTCTCGGCTCCTCCGGTGGGCATAGGCCATAGCGACTTCCGCCGGCGCGGCGGCCGCCGTGGGAGCGGACAGGATACGATCGATCCCACCTACTACCGGCCCGATCGGTCCCACCGTCCGGACGAGCTGAGTCGCACCGGCGCGACTCCCGGTTCGCACGCACACCGCGGCGGGCCTGGTGGGACGCGCCGCCAGCCCGCGGCAGCTCCTTCGCCACAGGTTCCCTCCTGTCATCTGAATGGAGCCGGCTGCAGTCAAAAAGTCGATCGACTCCGTTATTAGTCGTTCTTTTTCCTTTCGTCGCCGTCACGCGGTGGCGCGATGCGCGAGGGGACGAGCACGTTCGGCGTGCCGGCCGGCACGGCGCAAAACTGGCCCTGCCGCGTGCAGATTTCACCTGCCGGCCACCGCTGCTTCCGCCGCCCGAGGCCGCGCCGGCGGCGCCGGGGCTCGCCGGTGGCCGGTCATGTTCCGCCGCGGCTGCAGCCAGGGACGCGCACAGACCGGGCTATCGTGGCTACCCGGCATCCATTTGACCCAGCAGGGCGGGGCGTGTCGTGCCCTGCTCTCGATTTTCCGCCGGCCGACCGGCTGACTGATTGACCCGGCGCGGCGGGGTGCGCGGCCGGCGGCGCACAATGTCCCCTGATGACGGTTTAATGCCGTCAAAGACAGGCTCTGTGCGTGTTTGTCGCCGCAGAGAGGGGTAGCCGGCCGTGGCTGATTGGCCTGCATCCGGGGAGAGCGCGGCCGCGGCCACGGGAACGGAACGGGTGGAACGGGGTGATGGTGGGGCGGCGGCGCTGCGACCGGCGCGGCCGGGCCGGTCCGGCCGATGATGGCGGTGGTCGAGGAGGAAGTCGGCGGCAGTGATCAGTGACCGCGCCGAGGGGACCGCGCCGGCCCGGCAGGGGAGTCGCCGTCAGGTGGTCTCGGTCGGCCGGCCGGCAGCCGAGTCATTACGGACATCCTGCCGGGCGGCGGCGATCATCATGACCGGGGACGGCGGCGCGGCAGCTGAGACGCCACCGAGGAGGGTCGGACGGCGGGGGTCCTGCCGGCGTCACCGCCGCGGCAGCAGCGGGCAGCTGTCACGCCGGCTGGTCACCGGCCCGTCTAATTGATGATGACGCCTCCTCGGCCCCGCTGGCTGGGCAGACGACCCGCTGCGCCCGGAGAAGTGGACCGTGATGATCCCGGGACCTGGAGCGAGGAGCCGGCACAAAGCGGACGGCGCACTGGAGGACCCACCTGAGCGTCTCGGAATTAGACAGCGAGCCGCTGTTTGGGTCAGCGTCTGGGCTCCCGTGCTAGCGGTCTCTCCGTGCACGCCTGCCCGATGTGGCGGAACACTCCAGTCGAGCGGCGCCGCGCTCCGGAATGGCAGACGCCGGCCTCGTTTCCGGCTTTGGCGGCTCCCCTGTTTTGGAGAGTATGTAGGAATGTCCGAATAATGGCCCCGTCTTCCTGCGCTATGACAATTATTTGCCGCTGTTTAAATGCTCGCCGAGTGGTGAGTGTAAGCTTCCACAGGCTTCCGTTGGGAGCGGACGGCCGGCCCTCCAGCGCGAGCTTTCCGCGTTTTTCAACAGAAGGTTCGTTAAGCATGTGGGTTAATCGCTATTCGTTAACGCAACTGAATTAGCGACCGATACGGTTGTTGTCGGTTTTCAATTGAAGTGGGCTAAGCTGTCTTCCTTCCTGTCAACCAGCATCAAACTATCGTCTTTATGCATCGTGC